TTCACAGTTGTATTTGACCTTGTGCCAGAGTGCTGGATAAGTATTCGTTTAAAAAGTAGTTGAATGATTATAGAGTACTTGGGGGAACACAGAATAGAGGGGTTACGGGAGAATTTCTAGAAGAAATGCTGACTATGAATCAGAAAGAGGTTACCAGACAAAACAAGCTGGAGAAAGTATCCCAAAGGAGAAGGGATAAGATTGGCTCTGGTTTATGGTAACTAATTATGCCAAAATTAGAGGATGGTGGAGGAGGTTGTGAGAGTCAAATATGGGAAGAGTCTCACGATGAAGAGACTTACATGTGAAGCTGCCAAGTTAAGATTCTATCCTAAAATCAATGGAGTGTCATTTTTTAAGCAGAGAAGCATCATGATATTAGTCATGTGGAAAGATCAATTTGCGAGTATAATGAAGGACTGGTTGTTTATAGAGCGGCTAATAGAGGCAAGAGGACCGACTAGAGAATTGGTGAATAATTCACCTAAGGGAAGATAAGAATCTGAATTTGGGTAGTGGTAATAGAAAGGCAAGAGAAGGGAGAATTATGGAATACTTAAGTAGGCTTGATGGAACTTGAGTACAAACTGAAATGTGGGGTTTGGGAGAGGAGGAGCAGAGGATAAAGACCAGGTTACCGTCTCAGACAATGGGTAGGTAGTGGAGCCTTCATCAAGATATATAGCATAGGAAAAAGTGGTCTGGGAATGGGGCAAGGGGTCTCCAAAATAATGAGTTTACATTTCAAATTCAAGATGTCTATTGGGCATCCAGTTAGAGATATTAACAGGCAGTTGGATGTATGGAACTGGAATGCAAGAAAACCATTTGGAGAGAGAAGTAGATTTAGGGGCATCAAAACATAGGTGGTGGGTGGGTCTAGCTCAGTGGTAGAGCACATGCTTACATGCATGAGGTCCTGGGTTCAATCCCTACTACTTCCATTAAAATTTTTTTTTAAGAAGTTAAATGATTAAAAAAAAATAGGTGGTAATGGAAGCCACCTTCAGTCTGGAGATGGTTGTATTCGTATGTACTTGGGAAGCATTTGGAGAGACTTTTGTTTCTTTGTTTTTTATTTATTTTTAATTTTATTTATGAAATGCACTTAATTTTTTATTTTTTTTATTGAAGTACAGTCAATTACAATGTGTGACTCTCTGGTGTACAGCACAATGTCCCAGTCATGTATTTACATACATGCATTTATTTTCATATTTTTTCCATTAAAGATTATTGTAAGATACTAGACATAGTTCCCTGTGCTATACAAAAGAAACTTTTTAAAGATCTATTTTTGTATATAGTGGCTAACATTTGTAAATCCCAAGCTCCCAAATTTATCCCCTCCCACCCCCTTTCCCCAGTAACCATGAGATTGTTTGCTAAGGCTGTGAGTCTGTTTCTGTTTTGTAGGTGAGTTCATAGTGTCCTTGTTTTCTTTTTTTTTTTTTATAAGATTCCACATCTGAGTGATATCATATGGTATTTTTCTTTCCCTTTCTGGCTTGCTTCATTTAAAATGTTGATCTCTAGGTCCATCCATGTTGCTGCAAATGACATTATTTTATTCTTTTTTATGGCAGAGTAGTATTCCATTGTATACCACAGCTTCTTTATCCAGTCATCTGTCGATGGACATTTAGGTTGTTTTCATGTATTGGCTATTGTGTATAGTGCCGCTGTGAACATTGGGTGCATGTATCTTTTTGCATTAGAGTTCCCTCCAAATATATATCCAGAAGTGGGATTACTGGATCATATGGTAAATCTATTTTAGTGTTTTGAGGAATTGGAGAGAAGTTATTTAAAAATATTATCAAAATAGTGCTCAGGAAGGTCAGCTTTGTGGCTCAGAGAGCAAAGGTGGCTGATGGTCTTCTCAGTGTGGGAAGGAGCTGATTTCTCTTCCTGTTATCCCTACTCCTTAATGTCTCTATGTAGTCAGCCTACTGCTACAAGGTGAATCATTTTGGAAGGGAAAAGAAGCAAGATTAGAAGCAGGCTCTAACATGTTGTCCTTTGCTTCTCTCATCTCAAAATCTTAGGTACCAAAAAATAAAAACCAACAACAACAACAGAAAACACTCTAAAATACACCCATCCCCTAGGCATTTGGATTAACAGAATGAAACTGGGCTGTAATTTAGGAAATAAGGCTCTTCTAAGAATCTGATTATCCATTAGTAACATGTATATGTCAAAAAAATTGTATGAGTTCAGGTTCTGACATAACCCCTTCATTCCAAACACACAGAAATGATAGAATAAATGTAAACAGAGAGAACCAAAAAGAGATAGCTGGGCTCAAAAATAAGATGAGTTATCTATGGACCAGAAAAGGAATATAAATACAAAATATGTAGTTAGATTCAAGCCACCCACCTGCTTTGCTCTGGGCCTGGATGTAGACAATGGTGGCTGTGAGTTTTAACTTGTCTACCATAATAGGAACTAAATGTGTTTTGTATAAGACCTGGCCCAAAATCCAGGTTTAGAGCTTAAGAAAAGAGTCAGGGTAGGACTCTTGCCGTCAGACATCTCTTGACCAGGAACTTCCCTGGGCTACCAGCTGGATTGCTGATGGACTCTCCATTGTCAGCAGTATCACCTCCAGGAATCCTGGAACATTCTATTTCTACACTGAGTTTACTGAGTTTCAGGGTGGGAGGTGGGTTGAGTTAGCCAAAAAAAACTACTAGACTATGAAGACTAAGGATAAAGGGCTAGAGAAAGGGAGTGAAAATCAAAAACAAAGTCTCTCATTCAAAATAAGCTCGAGACCAGAATTCCAAAGCATATAGACAAAATGAATGCTAAGGAAGAAGACAAACACGATCAAGAATTAACATGAATTTACTTCAGATAATATTATTTCATAGAAAAGTTTGACAGAGTTTTTAAACTCAGCATGTTTGAGATGCTCAAAAAGTAAATGAAGACAAAACAGCCTCTCAAAAAATAGATTAGGAAATACAAACAGGAAGATATGAAGCAAAAATAGATGGATATGAAAAAGAAACAATTAGAAATCTTAAAAATAAGTCATTTAAATTAAGAAACTAAAATAGGTGAGCTGAACTTCATACTGAACACAGAGAACAAATTAGAGAAACAATACAGTGCTGAAGACTTAATATAGTATAAACCATAGAGAGTCAGAGAGAAAAATATGAAAGAGCAGGTAGGAGACAAATGAAAATCAAGATCATAGATCAAGAAGCTCTGAATTACATTGAATAAGGAATTCCATAAAAGGAGATTGAGGGTGGGTGAAGAAGCAACATTTGAAGATTTATTAGCTGCATTTTCTGATTTGCAAAAAGACATTAGAATTTCTTTTCTATTCATTCATTCATTTATTTGATAGACACTTAAGGAGAACTTACTATGTGTTACATTCTAGACTTAGAACAAAGGCTACAAAATGAATGTGGTACAATCCTTGCCTTGAGGGTCTCACAGTTATCAGGGGAGATGGGCATGTTTAATTAAAATGTGATATAAGGAGACTGATAAAACAGTATATTATAGAATAAAGAAGAAGGAAGAACATTTCTGGTAGGACTGAAAAAAGCTTCACAGAGAAGATGACACTCAAACTAGGCCTTTAAGTTGAGAGTTCCATAGAGTGTAATTCTCCAGGAAGAGGAAATGCATGGGCAGTAGACATGCAGGCATGAAAGAGCATGACCTATTTGGTGGCTGCTGGTGGTTCTGGGTCGTTCTAGGTTCTGGAGGACATGGAAGGAGGGCTGAGACCATAAGCTAAAAGGACTGACTTAGGAGAGAATTTAATCCCTTTTTAAAAATAGAAAGCATTTATTGAAAGTTTATCAAGGACAAAAAGTGAAAGCATGAATTGAAGAGCTGTACCATAAACGTGATGACTCAGGATCATAAAGATGAATGATGCGATGCCACTTAATATCCGAGGGATTTTTAAAAAAAGAGGTACAGAGGATTGAACCCAGAACCTCGTGCATGCTAAGTATGTGCTCTACCACTGAGCTATTTCCCTCCCCCTCTAAGGGATTTTTTTTTTAAATGAAATGTGACTGATGATAAAATTTATATAGAGAGGACTAGAAATAGTCAACACAGTTTTGAAAGGATAACAAGAATGTACCTTACTAGCTAGCAATATTAATCTAATATGTTTTAAGAAGAAAAACATTGTTGAAGGTATTTCTTAAATGTTGAGAAGAGTTCACCATGATTACCATTCTAAGTCAAGCTACGGAAAATAGTGAGCAGATTTGAATTTTAGAAATCTCGCTCTGGCATTACTACATAGAATGATCTGGGGGTGGGGTAGCAAGACCTGAGTTTGGGTGACATCAGAAGGTCAGCTTAAGAGATGCTGAGAGTGAAGAAGGAGGATAGTGAGAATGGAGAAGGAGAGCTGAGCTGAGAAACGTTGAGGAGAGAGAATCAACAGACCTTGAAGTTTACCTTTGTTGGAGGGTAGTTGCATCGGACAGGAGGCAAGGGGAATATAACTTCAAGGTATCAACCCAGGCAATTGGTTGGACAGTGGGTCCATTAACAGAAAGAGTGAATATCAGAGGAAACCCAGATTGTGTTTACTCTGAGAGATGTTGATTTTAAGAATCTCTGGGACAAATAGGTCTTTGGAAAATAAGAATGAAGCTTGGGGCAGTTTTAGGCCGACATTTTAAGTAGTTGAAATAATGAATATAAATTTTGCTTGGTGGATTCCAAGTTCAGCAGGTAGAGAAGGAAGACAGAAGAGATGGAAAACACTTGCTGTCGGGGGCAATGCCTGTATCTGGGCCCTGAAAGATGGGAGGATCTGCAGAGGCAGCAGTGCAGTGCAGGAGCAGCCCAGGTTAGATAGAGGATGCGGAAGCTGAGAGAGAACGGGGTGCTGATGCTGGAGCAGAACCTCCAAAGGTGATGAAAAGGAGGGGGGCTAAGCAGGAAAGAAAATTTGCATTTTTCCAATCACATGTGCAAAGTGATAGCTGGGCCCTCACCTTTGCATTTATCGCATGTCGGGTGGCATCTCTCACAGGTCTGTGTGCTTTGCTCCTCGTAATGATGCTCTGGGCAGGTGCGATGACACTGTCCCTTGGAGCGGAGCAGATAGAAGAAGGGATCGCAGGACAGGCAGTCTGTGGGCTGCGGGCCCCGGCACGCCTTGCAGCTCCTGCTGCACCTCTCACACCGCCCTGTGGAGTTTTCTGCGTAATATCTGGACCAAAGAGGGAAGCAAAGTTTCAGTACCCAGCTTTGCTCTGAAGTTGGGTGTGGTGGAAAAAGTCATGGTTAGTCAGATAAGGTTCATTTATAAGCTGGGTGCTTTTAGACTCTTTACTTATTAGACTCATTACTGGAGATATTAATAAATCTAACAAGCATCAGTTTTCTTATCTGTAAATTGGGCATTACAGTCCATTCCCTGCTTTTTGTAGAGATTAAGTTAGATGACAAGCACAAAAGGACCTAGCACGGATCACATGTAGTAGTGCCACAATGATTGCTCACTGTCCTTGCCTTCCATATACCCATGTCCTCTTCCACTTGAAAATACAGATGTTAAATCATATTGAATGGAATCAGGGAATGGAAGGTATTTTAAATGTACCTCAGAGTGGTTCTTCTCATTTTTCAATTAAAAAAAATCTTGAAATAGAGGATGACATGAGTGATGTTGACCTTTATATAATGATATATGACCTTTTGAAAAGACTTTGAGGCTAAATATAATAATAGTTATTACCATTTATTACGTTTCTACTGCATGCCTGGTAGGACACTAGGGACTTGAGAAACATTATTTCACCTCATTGAACCTAAAAATGAAACATTAGGGTATGGCAGTTAGGAGCTTGCCCTTTGGAACAAAAGTGCATGGAATCAAAGCCTAGCCATACCCCTTATAAGCTGTGTGACCTTGAACAAGTCATATAACATCTCTGTGTTTCAGGTCTGTAATACAGGGCTAATATTAGTAGCTAAAATTAAACAAGTTATATTACTGAAAACCTTGTTAGAATAGTGCCTGGCACATGATAAATACAGTTGACCCTTGAACAACTCGGGTCAGGGCATCGACCTTCTGCGTAGCTGACCCTTCGTATGATTTGATACTCCGTCCTTCATATCTGTGGTGCTGCATCCTCAGATTCGACCAGCTACAGATTGCATAGTACGTACTTAGTGAAAAATATCTGCATATAAATGGACCTGTGTCTGAACTGCACAGGTGAAGTGGAATTGCATTGTTCAAGACCACCATAATTAATGTATGTGAGTGATAATTGTGAGTTTTCTGATTAATCCTCACAGCAAACCTTATGATCTAGATATTATCCCTATTTTACATGCATAAAAACTGAGGCTCAGAGAATTTAGTCAACTTGCTTAAGGTCAAACAGCTCTTAAAGTGGGACAGTGCAATTTGAACGTATCTGTTAAATGCCACTATAACAAGCCATGCATTATTTGAAGGTAAGCATAACATTTTCAAATAAGATAGAGGAGAGAAAAGGAATCATTGCCAAAGATAAACTTCTAGGCATCACTGGACCCATCTTGAACTGTCTGGACGTTGGCACGCTGAATTTATCCTAGACACCAGAAGCTTCACCCTTGGTTTCCCTGGTGCAAAACTCTTGGGCCCGTTCGGTTTATTAAGGTTGATTTCAGGTCCACTAACTTGCTGACAGCCAAAACCATAGCTTGGTAATGCTGAGCCTGCCCCTACCCGGCTGCCAGTCACTGATCTGAGTGAGTACTGGTACCTCAGTGGCCCTGCTCACAGCACATCAAGCTTTGTTTCACCTTCTGCAGTGAAGGAGGAACCATGGCCACTGTGCGTCAGTTATTAAAACTCTTGCAGGGAGGATATAACTCAGTGGTAGGGTGTGTACTTAGCATGCATGGGATCCTGGGTTCAATCCCTAGTACCTCCATTAAAAAGAATGAATGAACTACCCCCAGCACCCCCCCAAACCAACAACTATAACAACAACGACAGAAACCTCTGAGGTGTTTGAGAGACCAGGTGATGAAAAGAGAGCAAAAGAATATCCATCCTGAACTGAAGAGTTGATAAAGATCATCTGCAACTCAAAAGAGAAAGCCACAGGGAAAAGTGAGAATCTAATTTTCCACAGACAGGATTGAAGTCAGAAGATCTGATTTTTTTGCATTGGCTCCATTATGTATTAGTAGCTGTGTGACCTTGGGCAAGTCACTTAACCTCTCTGAGCCTCAGTTTCCTCATCTGTAAAATGGAGGGAATAATATCAATCTCATAGGATTATTGTGGAATCAAATCATAATATAAAGGCACCTTATGAGTGGAATACTTTGTAAACTCTAAAGCAGCATGAACATTCTTTCCTAAAGTTGTTACTATAGATTGTTATTAAGATGAAAAGCATCAGTAGGAACCATGCAGAAGATAAGCTTATCAATAGCCAAGTAGGTTTTAAAAATTATTAAAAAGAGTGATGCCAAAGGAAGACAATGGCAAGATGACTGTCCGATTGAATGACAGGTTTGAGGCCACTGCTTACCTTGATGGTGCCTTTGCATGAGGTGATTAGGAAGTCACTCGAGCCTCAGAGCCTGGAATAGGATCTCGTGCATAAGCATAAGTATAAACAATAACTGGGGCCTTAAAAACCTGCTCTGAGGTTGAACACCAAAATAATGACGCGCATGGGTCCGGGTGCAGAGGATTAGACATCAGCTTTTCCAAGGCAATGAGATTTAATGTATGAAGTTAATGCATGTGGGTCATTGGTTTTACACAAGGAACTATTGCGGTTAAGTATCTCCTCTTCTACCTCATTAATACTGCATCTATTCCCCATTAAAGGGATTGATGGCAACCTGTCCCTCTCCTCCCAACGGGGAGCTTCACACACCATGGAGCATTTGTTTTCTTAATCCCAGTCTGCAATCTGTTAAGGGTTTTTGTGTGTGTGTGTATGCATAAGAGTAATGACTTAATTTGAGGAGGATGGAGATTCTTTATATGGCATCTGGATCTTTTTATTAGAATAAAGGTGAAGGGCTGAGCCACGTAGCTCCCTCCTCTTTCTTGCCTGGCAGGGATCTTTCTTTATTGATCTACGTGGCTGGTGTTCTTTGAGGGCTGCAATGTGTGTGGCTTTGGCTGAGTGGTGTAGTAACCTGTGTGAAAAATAAGATGTGTTTTTCTTTCAGGAGCTTATAATTTTCTGGGAAAGAGATACATAAGAATAAGAAGCTCTTACAAAGTCTTTGTATCACTCATCTTAGACTTACCAGGTGCTCTTTATTAAGCATGTGTTGAATGAATGAGGTAAATCAGAGCACAGGGCAGCATATAGCACTAGAATGGGTGATACGAACAGTGATTGCTACAACGACTGAATATAATAACTGCAGATAAGAGATATCCTAGTTTGGGTGAAAGTACTTGGGGGAGAGTCCAAGCTTACAGCCCTTCAGTTTGGGTCTCAGTGCTTTAGATTATTTGTTGGGTGGGAAGAGTTAATAACAGGCCTGCCGTCAGTCTTTTTTCTCTTCTGGGGGTGCTTGGGGACAAAAAAAAAAAGGATGACCCTGTGTCAAATCCTCTTCCAAATATGCTGGTATCCAGGCCTTCTGAAAATACACTAGCAGGTTTTCCTAGCAGAAAAACGCACAATGGAGAGCTCTTATCTGTGAAATTCTTTTAGAAAGATACGTCTGTGTATCTAGATTGCTTATGGTAGCCAAACCTGTAATTTGTGGATTTTGAGGGGCATGGCAGTTTGGAGGATTAGTAGGGTGTAAGGGGAGATATTTAACTGAAATTGTTTCCTTTATAAGATCAATGCTTCATGTACATTGCTTAGACCTCATGTATTAAATCTCGTCAGAACATATCCTCGTGCAGAAGAGAAAGAACCTACATTCATAGTGTTGGACTTCTCTAGGGGAAGAACGCTTCGCCTCTGCCTTGTAATTGCTTGTGTCCTTTGCATTAGTGATGTTTGACATATGGATCTGGCGTGACAGTCTGACTCTTTGTTTTCTCATTGGGTCACTCGGTCTCTCCTGTTTACTCTTCCATTACTGTGAGTTGGCTGAAATGCTATAGAAACCGTGAGATTTGGGTTGGATTCTCATCGTTAGTTCTTGCTAGCTGTGAGACTTCAGTCTGGTTATGTAAGTGTTCAGGACTTAGCTTCCTCATCTGTGAAATGGGTTTGCTAATAGTGATGTCTGGAGTGGTTATGGGGTTAAATGAGGGGAAAGTGTGTTGAGCACCTCACCCTTCCCTGCACTGGGGCAGGCACTCCTTTCCCAGTTGAAACCAGCCCGGCTGGCAGGAGAGGCACTGCATGCTGTGTCCACCTTCACAGGTCCTGCAGGAGCTGTGGCAGGGGGCACACCGGTGGCTGTCCTCATCGGCATAGTAGCTCTCGGGGCAGTCTTGCACGCAGGTCTTGTCTGCCAGGGGAGGAAAAGAGTCTGTCTTGGTACAAAGTATGACACATGTCTCCCAAACCTTGATTTGCTCCCATGGTGGGAGCAAAGGAATGAGACAGTGTTCCCGGGGGCCGATGGATATCCTAGGAGCTAAGATGAATGTCCAAGAAATAGAATCAACCATAAGTCCATTAGGGGTTGAAGAAAAACAGGTCAGAGTGGACTGGCTGTTTTGGGCAGGACAGAAACCATGTTCTGTCAACGTGAGCTAGAGGATGTACAAGGTCTCCCAGGGAGCACATTCGAGGCAGGGGCTAGGGTAGCAGGAGTCAAGGCTCCATTGAAGAAAATGGGGCAAAGGTATAGTTTAGAGGTAGAGTGTGTGCTTAGCATGCACCAGGTCCTGGGTTCAGTCTCTGGTACTGAAGGAGTACCCCCATTTAAAAAAAAAAGAAGAAAATGGAAAATGCAGGGCCAATGTGATAACAAGTCCCCACAATTTCAAATGTTTCTAGCTGAAAATATAAGATTTGGCCCTGTTTTGCTGTGCTGTCCACACAGTGTGGCTCTTGAAATTTAAATTAATTAAAATGAAATAAAATTAAAACTTCAGTTTCTCAGTTGTGTGAGTACAGATATAGAATATTCCATCAGGACAGAAATACGGATATATGGATAGTGAGACACTATTTTGCCCATGTATTTAAAAAATTAGATCGTAACCGTAAATCCTCTGCTCTAAACAGCAGGATGAGTGGAAGTCAAGTTGTACAGCCCCACACAACCCCAGGCCTTCTTCCACGCACCCCAGGGGAGTCACTGATTCCTGCCTTCTCAACTTCCTTAACAGCATTTAGGGGCGGAAGTTGGGGACGGGTTAATCATAAAGTTAAGACATGAGATTTGCTGGCTTCACAGTTTAACGTGCAGTCTCAGAGACAGCTTACTCCCCCTGCTTCTGCTTAACCTCACAAAACAGAAGCCAGGCCCTCCTGCATTATTAATGTGAGCCACTGGTCAGCTCTGTGCTGGAAGCCGGTGTGTCCATAGCTTCAGTCAGCATTAAGCGCGGATACTGGTGGGAAAACTAAATGGTATAGAGCTACTGTAAAAAATGCTGTGGACCCACCCAAACTCTGTGCTGGGAGACTGTCTGAGCTGCTCGAGGGCAGGGGCCATGTCATTCATCTCTGGTTTTCCAGACCCCAGCACAGTACCAGGTCCCCAGGTTCTGTTCAGTGGCTATTCTGTTAGAGATGGATGTTGACAACGGTTGATTGTCCAGCTGATGTAGCTGTTAACTAGGGGGAAGCCTGAATCTCCCAAAGATGAAACACCTCTCTATTAGGTTCCTATTGCTATTGTAACAAGTGACCATAAATGTAGTGGCTCAGAACAGTACAAACGTATTATTTTATTATTCTGGAGGTCAGAAGTCTAACATGAGTCTACAGGGCTGTGTTCCTTTTAGAGTCTCTGGGGGAGGATCTGTTTCTTTGCCTTTTCTAGCTTCTAGAGGTCACCTGCCTGCCTTGGCTCATGGCTCCTCCTCTGATTTCAAAGCCAGAGCATCTTCTCTCTGTCCCTCAGTTCTGACATCACACCACCTTACACTACTAACTCTGGTTATCCTGCCTCCCTCTTATTAGGACCTGTGAGATAATCCCGGGTGGTCCTCCCCAAATCAAGTCCATTACTTTATAATCTGCAATTTTTTTTTGCCATGTAAGGTGACATATTCATAGGGTCTGGGGATTAGGATATGGACACTTCTAGGGAAATTATTATTCAGACTATCACAACCACCAGAGGAATTTATAACTAGGCTGACCCTGTGGGATGGTGGTGAGGGGCAGGGTGGGAGAACATGAGAAGACCAGGTCCTAGCACATCCTGTATCCAGCCCTTGGGGGACCATGGCTCTGTGTCATACACCAACCCCGAAGTCTTAGTTCTAGTCCAATCCGTATCCCTAGTTAAAGGGAAGACAACCTTGTAATGATAAGATGTCTTCCTGTCTGTATGAAGGCATGTGAGGTGAGCACTGGTAACACTCTAGGTTGGGGATAATTAGAAAAGAGGGTCCTGGGGGTTGGGGTGATAGAGGGGATCTGGAATGTTCTCCTGAAGCAGCCACTGTGGGGAAGAAGGTTCACCGAAATTTGTGCAAGAGGGGCTAAGATGGATGGAAAGGAAGACTGGTATCCTCAAGTGTTTTCTGTCGGGCGGCAGTCAGAACAGAATTGGGTGTATCTGTCCCTGTCTTAGTAGGGAATTGGTGCCCTTGCTCATGGTACCTCCACTGGAAGTGGAAAAAATTGCCATGCATTCCTACTTTGAGTGTCTTACTTCTCAGGTCTACTCTGCTGGGTTAGGGAGAGCATGTGTGAGGACCTCTCCAGGTTAAGCCGATTCCTGGTGTCCCTGGAAACCTGAGGGCATTGCTTGACAGTAGTGGAACCTTCATACCTGATCTGTAGGAGCTGGACAACCTCAGATTGTGCCACGCTTTGTTCAATAAGATTCATCAATCACTGGATGCTAAATCACGGGGGAAATGTTCATGAGGAGCTGTAAACCTGCATGTTCATAAGTGTCTCTCCCCAGACTGCTTATTAGTCACAAGGGAGAAGTAACTATGCAGTAGAGAAATTGGACAGCACCCTGAACAGAGCACCCAAATTAACATCACCTGTGAGAGGCAGGGGACCACCATGTACCTCTGGAGGGACATGACGTCACCCATGAGGTATCCTGCCCGAGGGTGCATGATCTCCATGTAATCACGAGGAAGCTTCACGCAAACCCAATGGAGGGATACGGACTGTGTTCAGACGTCAATATCATTAAAGACAAAGTCTGGAGAAATGTTTCAGGATAAAGGAGGCTAAAGAGACGTGGAAACTAAATGCCATAACTGACCCCAGACAGGGCCCCGTTCCAAAGGGGAATTGACAAAATTATAATACAGTGTTTGTTAAAGGATTGTATCAATGTTGAGTTCACTAGACTTGGCGACTGTACTGTGGTTACCTAAGAGAGCATCCCTATTCCTCTGAAGTACATAAGGCAGATCTTGATTTATAGTGCTTCATAGATACTGCATTTTTTTTTACAAATTGAAGGTCTTTGGGCACCTAGCATTGTCAGATGGTTAGCATTTTTACTTTTAGCAGTAAAGCATTTTAAAGTTGATTGATTTTTTTTTAGAGATAATGCTGTTGCACACTTTTTTTTTTAGGAGGAAAAGTTAGCTTTACTTCATGGAACCAGAATAAACCACTGAGAAAGTCAAGAGGCAGTACCAAGACTAGAATTCAGGTCACTTAGTTTCCACACACTCCTGTAACAGAGCTCTCCCTAAACAGGTGGTTAAAATACCATCCCCCTAATTTGTGGACATAAGTGAACCTATCAGTTGTGTAAGTCAGTCTGATGCACGTCACTAACCTGGTGACTGACTATGCCATGAGGGCCACAGCCAGTGAATAAGGTTCGCGGTGACTCTTCAAGGACTCTAGCACACTAAGGCAGTAGCTGATACCCAAGTGTGACTCCAGCCTCGATAATGCTGTTGCACACTTAATAGGCCACAGTATAATGTAAACATAACTTTTATATGCACTGGGAAACCAAAAAATTCATGTGACTTGCTCTTGGTTTATTGTGATACTCACTTCTTGTGATGGTCTGGAACCAAATATCATATGTCACATGCAGTATCTCTGAGATACGCCTGTACTAAAGTATTTGTGGGAGAGGGGCCATGATGTAGGTAACATATCCTTAGGTGGTTAAAAACAATACGTGGTGAGTTATGTACACATATACATCGAGCATGAGAGAGTGAGAGCAAGCAGATAATAAGGGAAACAGGGTAAGAGGTGCCTGTGCGGGGCTCTTTGTAGTATTGTCCCTCCCTCTTGCATCTCTTCTGTAGGTGTGAACAATTTCCAAAGACAAAGTGAACATTTTTTAAATGCCAGTATCTACTGAGCATCAGGTGTTGTGCAAGGTAGCTTCCCAAATGGAGGGAGAGACCAAGCCCTCCTTAGAGGAAAAGGGACTCACTGAGAAGAAGGCTGTCCCGCAGGCAGGTGTGACACTGGTCCTCTGAGGGCCCCGTGCAGCGGAAGCACTTGGCGTGGCAGGACTTGCAGGCCAGGGCCTCCCCATCCCAATACTCGACGGCGGCACATTCGGTGTGAGGCACACAGCCCCCGTGGTTGTTCAGCCTGAGGCCTTCCCGGCAGGTGGTGCAGGTCCCTGGGGACGAGCAGGTCTGGCAGGACTTATGGCAGTCTGCGGGCGGGGTGGGGACAGCAGACTGAGAGTCAGAGAGGGCCCTGCGCCCCTCTAAGAAATCGGTTCCCCTGGCAAGTGTGCCTGTGTTCCTCAGTTCTCCAGAGGTTTCTAGGGCTTTGTGCCATGGGAGTTGAGGCCCTCAGGTGGAGCCTTCTTGTTGCAAAATGAGGGGAAAAAAATGGCTGGTTCACGTTCTCTGAAATCCCCAGAGAGCCCCTTCCTGCAACAGCTGCTTCAGAAATATCAGTAAGACTCACTCTAATTACTCAAACTCAACAAGATAATAATAAGCAGTTGTACAAAAGCATGTCCCACTCCAGGCTGTGGGCTTCTCACCACCATCACCCCTACTCTGTGGTCCTCCTCTGACTCCCAGAATGCCTTGCACTTACCGCTAACCTAACAGTTGTCGAGATGTATTGTTAAATACCTGTTGACAAAAAAGGCCTCTTTTGTATCATTTGTGAATGCAGTGCCTATGAGAGGGCATGGCATGTAAGAGGCACACAGTAAATATTTGTTAGACAAGTAAAACAAGAACAGTTCACTCCTACCCTGGGAGTCTAGTCGTTGCTGTTCCCTCTGCCTGGAATTCTGTCTGCATGGTTTGTTCCCTCCCTTTCTCAGTGATCTCATCCAGGCCGCCTTCTCTCTAACTTCAGCCTCATCCCACCCAACTTCCTGTCCCCCTTTCCTGCCTTATTTTTCCTTTTGACTTAGCTTCTTTAGAGTCTGCCTTCCCCAATTGAATGTAAGTTCCGTGAGGGCTGGATTCTGTCTGTGTGGTCCCCGCCGTTCCCCAGGCCTGGAAGAGCACACAGCACATAGTAGGTCCCCAGGAAGCACTCTCTGAGTGGATACATGTGTGGTATTAGTACTGTGTTATCATCTCATTGTCTCTTGTAAGTCTTCACATGAGAATCCTTTTTGATCAGCCACTGTTGTCAGGAGGGTTAACATTATTCATTGCTAAGAAAAGTTATATCATCAAAGCTAAGGAATAATTCAGTTAAAAATAAGTAATATGTTAGAGCAGACTCAAAACATGCTTCCTTAAGCAGGAGGGGAAGAGATGGGATGACAGCTCTGGGGCTGGAACTGGGCAAACCCCAGAACCTGCGTTGTCTTGGCAGAAA